GCATGACGAAGCGGATATCGTCCTCTTTTGGAAGACCAAACAAAGTAGTTTTGCTTTCACAACGAAGCACACAGTGCCTTCACAACAGGGCGGCAGCAGCAACAATACTACAGCGAGAATAAAAGTTACGCCTTCTTTCTTTGCATGAACATTTGGGCGGCGTTATGCAAATCTTCCCACATAGTGATGTAGACATGTGGGGGCGTGTTAGAACGAGCCGTTTTAGGTAGGCGTGGTTAACTCTTAACTTTTATAAAGAATATCTCTTTGGATTTGAGACTCTAGTCTTTGTAACTTTACAGATCTTCTTTATGCACCAAGAACTTGTAATACTCTGAAGAGAAAGGACAAAATTGAAATCGCATCATATGACCCCTTTAATAAGCTCATGTTTTACCTGACAGACTTCAGTCCTTTAGACGTAAATGATGATCTTGACATCCACACCACTCCAGTACATCAATAAATGTCTTGTGAAGAGAAAAGCTGCTTGTTTGTAGGAAACAAATCCATCATTAAGGTGTTTTAACATTAAAATTTCGCTTTTGGCCAAAATATTAGTTTATAATCCATAATATTGCTTCCTCCAGTGAAAAAGTCCATCTCACACATTTTGAACTGATTTGGACTGTTTTCAATTGTAAATGCTTCTTGATCTGTGCAGATTTCTCTCCTGATTCAGACCAGATGACATTTTCACTGCAGATTTTGGCCTGATGCAACGTGTTTGATGTTAAAACACCTTAAAGATGTCTTAATGATGGATTTGTTTCTTATAAACATGCAGCTTTTGTCTTCTCAAGATGTTAATCGATGGACTGGAGTGGTGTGGATTATTGTGATGTTTTTATCAGCTGTTTGGACTCTCATTCTGACGGCACCCATTCACTGCAGAGCATCCATTGGTGAGCAAATGACGCAGTGCTACATTTCTCTAAATCTGAAGAAGAAACGAACTCACACACATCTTGGATGGCCTGAGAGTAAATGTTCAGCGAAGTTTCATCTCTGGGTGAACTATACTGACTGACCGCTGCTTTACTGTGGTTTCCGGACACAGCTGCTCTCACTCATGTTATCTTCAGCTGTCAGTGCTGAGCTGCTTTCTCTTGTCAGTGTGCATCTAATGGCTTCCTCTCATGACGTTCTGTGTTCAGTCTATTATCAGTGCAGCCACAAAGACTTCCACCATTTCGTCGATAACGAGTCAAAACGTCAAAATCAGGTTTTTTCAAAAGCATAAATAATGCCCTAATTTCCCAGAGTAGATCTGTTATAAACACACTCTCTGAGCACCTCATTACGGCTCATATGTGGGATGCTCGTCTCTCAGATGGTACCTGGCTTTCAAAGAATTAACCTGCTACACCTTCGCCCTGTTGCTAGGCGACCGCGAGGCGCTTGGCTCCCGCTGCCGGCAGTATAATAGGCAGGATTGTGTGATTATCAAAGACAGGCTGGACTCTCAGACTGGAGTGGAGGGAGGGCCGTCCGGCCGCACACTTTGGGGCTGACATTAGCAGGGCTGGAATCCGCTCACGCTGCATGCGGGTTGGGGTTCAGCCGTTAATTAGTTTCTTTTGATGCAGATGATTAGCCGAATTAAGTCTGCCGAGACTCGTTAGAGTAAGTGTGACTGTATTGTAAACTGACAGATGGCCCGGAATGCAAAACGCTGTTTGGTTTGGGTGTGAGACTGGCACTCAGAGACAAACGCACGGGATTCGGGATTTCACTGGTGCCAGCTGAGAAAACACACAGCAGGGTTCTTACTGTGAAAAATTCATTCGAAATTCATTTCATTTTGTATCTCGTTTTTCAGTTGTAGTTTTTGGTAGCTCTAATTGTTCATAAAAAGTCTTTAGAAATGGACTCGTTTTAGTTTTCATCTTTTATTGTGTCAGATGGCTGATTCTTGTCTAGTTTATATATATATATATATATTAAAGTAGCAGTACTTAATATCATCACAAAATCACTTTCACTGACTTTTTCATTAACTGTTCCCTCCTGGTGGAATGACCTGCCCAACTCAATCCCAGCAGCTGAGTCTTTACCCATCTTCAAGAAACGACTAAAAACACATCTGTTCCACCTTTATTTGACCCTCTAACTCTAGCACTTTCTATTCTATTTTAATTCTACTTTATCTATTTATCTTCTTTTTTATAAAAAAAAAAACACTAGCTTTCTATTTTTTCTATTCTATCTATTTGTTTTTCTTTGTGTGTGTGTGTGTGTGTGTGTGTATGTATGTATGTGTATATATGTATGCATGTATATGTATATATATGCATGTATATGATATCTAAAAAAAAAAATACCTTGCTACGTGTACCCTTGGCTAACCGAGATTTGTCATTTGCACTTACATATTGTTGCTCTTTTGTTGATTTTGATTGCTTCTATTGTCCTCATTTGTAAGTCGCTTTGGAAAAAAGCATCTGCTAAATGACTAAATATAAATGTATATTAAGTTGGAAAAAATATTTTAGCTTTAATATGAACATTACCTTTAAATATGTCAAATAGTATGACTAAGTTCAGTATTCTGGCAATTATGATTCATGGAGGCACAAATGGCAGTGTTTCTTGAAACAAAGCATGTCTATTACACTCTTCCTCCTGTTGATGTCAGGTGTAAAGGAGAGAGAAACAGACACCATGGACACCTTTGTGGATCCCTCCTGGTACTATTTCAGCTACACTGACCCCCAGAACCCGCTGAGGTAAGGAAAAGCGGCTCTGTCTGGCTCTGTCTGTTCCACCAGGTGTTTGTGGAGACTGTTGTAGTCTGCGGTGCTTCCAGAGATGCTGAGAGAGCGAGACTCAGAAGGGAAGACCATCTGTGTGCTATTTCATATGAACAACACTGATTTTAAAATGTCACTCCTTTGTCCCTGTAATGCATCGCACACATCTTCATAAACACAATAAAATAGCATAAGCATATCTACATACTGTTCCAGAAACTTCACAGGGAGCATTAATGCATAGACTGAAAGCTTACTGAAATATATAATCAGTTTGCCTTCGGTCTATGCATTAATGCTGCCTATGAAGATTTCTGAACAGATATTAATATATTAATGTGTTTTTTTTTATTTTGATCTGACATAACTGTGTGGTGTGACGTCAAAAATCTGATCTGAACCTTTGGAGCTGACTTGAAATGACAAACAAAAGTAAAGTCATTTGCACTGAATGGTGGAATTTAATCATCGTCGAAGCTCAACAAGTGAAACGTCATCATCAAGAGTGAAAAACCATAATTCATAGAAATGTTACGGAACACCAGAGCACTGTAACTGTACATGTTAGATTACATTTAAAAAAGTGTCAGGAACATTATTTTACTTAGAATTATTCATAAATTATATTGAATTGCAACATTGAGATTTTTTAAAATATATTTATCTCTTTTTTTGGTGGAAAACAAAAACTATGAATGGCCTCTACGCAAATTACACACAAAAAAATGAATTTTTATATTATTAAAAAATGTAAATGATATTATCACCGTGTGATATATTAAATGTTACAGTATATGTAGGACATCCTACATTACCTGTAGCATACAGCTTACTCGCGTTAAGCAAAAATGAACTTTTTTAAATCTCACAATTCTGTCATTTTTCTTGCAATTCTGAGAAAAAATTAAAATTTTAAGATATAAATACAGAATCGCAAAATATAAACTGAAAAAATATAAACAGAATTGAAAAGTCAGAACAGCAATTACCTTTTATTTTTTTTATTATGTGGTGGGGAAAAAAACTGAATTGTGAGAGATAAACTCAGAATTTCAAGAATAATTCAGTATTCTTATTTTTTTAATCTTGTAATTCATACTCTCAGAATTGTGAAAATAAAAGTCAGAATTGCGAGAAAAAGCCGCAATTACCTTTTTTTTCTTCTTTTTTTTAAAAATCTCTCATGGTGAAAACAGTTTTCCATACTAAACTGCTAAATGCAACTATAAGGCATAAAGATATTAAAATATTATAAACATCAACATCATGATTTTCTGTAAAGCTGCTTTGAAACTATGTGTATTATGAAAAGTGCTATACAAATAAATTTGTCTTCACAAAAGTCTTTAATTTATATAGGACTAAATGGGTTAACATGCTAACATATATATACAGTTGTGCTCAAAATTATTGGTAAATATGATCAAAGAAGGCTGTGAAAATTAATCTGAATCATCAATCCTTTAGATATTTAATTTAAAAAAATTACTAAAATCTAAGCTTTCATTGGAGAATAAGAGTTTAAAATGGGAGAGAAAACTCATTATGAAATAAATGTTTTTCCCTAATACATATTGGTCTCAATTAATCGTACCCTTTTATCCAATACTTTTTGCAACCTCCTTTTGCCAAGAGAACAGCTCGGAGTCTTCACCTCTAATGCCGGAAGAGTTTAGAGAACATCTGACAAGATATCAGAGACCATTCCTTCATCCAGAATCTCTCCAGACTCTTCAGATGATGGTGCTTCTCCTCTTCAGCTCACCACACTCATTTTCTACAGGGTTCAGCTCAGGTAACTGGGTTGGCCAGGGCAGAAGCTTGGTTTTGTTCTCAGTGACCCATTTTTGTTTTGATTTTGATGTTTGTTTGTGGATCATTGTCCTGTTGGAAGATCCAACCATGGCCCATTATAAGATTTCTAGCATGGACAGTCAGTTTTTAATTTTTTATCCATTGGTATTTTATAGAATCCATTATGCCATCTATCTGAACAAGATGTCCAGGATCTCCGGCAGAAAAATAGGCCCACAGCTTTAGAGATCCAGCAGTATATTTTATTGTACACATGGGGTACTTTTTATCCCTGTGTGCACCAAACCCATCTTGAGTGTTTGTTGCTAAAAAAGCTTCTTTTTTTTTTTGTTTCATCTGACCATTGAACCCAGTCCCGTTTAAAGACATTATACGACTGACAGACTGAAACAGCTGGAGTTAAAAATCATCATTTGTGTTCTACTGAAGAAACAAAGTCACCTACATCTTGGATGCCCTGGGGGTAAGCAGATAAACATCACATTTTCATTTTTGGATGAACTATCCCTTTAACTCAATTTCCATGAAGAAAAACTTCCAGAGCTCTGTCATTGTATTGTATGGACAGTTAGTTTGATGCTGCTGGCAGGTGGAAGTAGAGTGTGACGCATTTGTTTATCACAGTTTGTTGAAGTGTGCTTATTGTTTTGTTTAAATTCACTGAGCGGTTCACATTCTCCCTTCAGAGTGCGTTTGAATGTGTTATTCGAGTGTCATGATTGTGATGTCGATATAAAGCAGCGCCAGCATTAAAGTGTTCTTAGAGAGTTTGTGAGATGTAACACCTGTCGCTCACGCTCACACACACACACACACACATGTTGTGTTTCCATGGTTTATGGGGACATTCCATAAGCGTAATGGTTTTTATACTGTACAAACTGTATGTGCTATTGCCCTACACCAACCCTACCCCTAAACCTACCCCTCACAGGAGACTTTCTGCATTTTTACTTTCTCAAAAAAACTCATTCTGTATGATTTATAAGCTTGTTTCCTCATGGGGACCTCAAAAATGTCCCCACAAGGTCAAAATTGACTAGTATTACTATCCTTGTGGGGACATTTGGTCCCCATAACGTGATAAATACCAGGTACACACACACACACACACACTAGTCATGTTTCAGTGGTGATGTCTGTGCATGAGCGCCTCGTAGTGGCCGCTCTCATGTAATACAGATACAGTGTGAGTGTTGGTGTCCTCTCGCAGGCCTTTCGAGCAGATCACTGGATGCCTGTGGATGTTTATATCAGAGGGAAGGAGCACGCCGTCATGCACCTGTACTACTCACGCTTCCACAGCCACCTCTGCAGAGACCAGGGCATGGTTTCACACAGGTGCGACATACAGTACACTCATAATCAAACACCTCCATGAGTGCCACACACACACACACTAGTCATGTTTCAGTGGTGATGTCTGTGCATGAGCGCCTCGTAGTGGCCGCTCTCATGTAATACAGATACAGTGTGAGTGTTGGTGTCCTCTCGCAGGCCTTTCGAGCAGATCACTGGATGCCTGTGGATGTTTATATCAGAGGGAAGGAGCACGCCGTCATGCACCTGTACTACTCACGCTTCCACAGCCACCTCTGCAGAGACCAGGGCATGGTTTCACACAGGTGCGACATACAGTACACTCATAATCAAACACCTCCATGAGTGCCACACACACACACATATATATACAGTGGGTACGGAAAGTATTCAGACCCCCTTAAATTTTTCACTCTTTGTTATATTGCAGCCATTTGCTAAAATCATTTAAGTTAATTTTTTTCCTCTTTAATGTACACACAGCACCCCATATTGACAGAAAAATATTTGAAATTTTGCAGATTTATTAAAAAAGAAAAACTGAAATATCACATGGTCCTAAGTATTCAGACCCTTTGCTCAGTATTTAGTAGAAGCCCAGCAGGTGTGTTGAGGCAAGTTGGAGCTAAACTCTGCAGGACACCGGCCCTTCAGGACCGAGTTTTGGCACCCCCTGCTCTAGTGCCACAAAAACACTTGTTGCTCCATCTATTTGAGTCGTCCTGTTGAAAGGAAAAATCTTAAATATAATATATAAATCTCAAAATCTAAAACATGTCAGTTGTTTCCCCTTGACAGGGTTTTTAAAAAGCAAAGTAGGACTAATCATTTGTAACATTAATATATGTATTTCCTTGCTGTATATTATTATTATTAGTGTGTGTGTGTGTGTGTGTATAGAGTATGTATGTATGTATGTATGTATATATATATATATATATATATATATATATATATATATATATATATATATATAAAGAATATAGATTTGGAACAACATGAGAATGAGTAAATATTGACAGTGTTAAGAACTTGTACTTTGTGCTAAATTACATGTTGAATTTCCTTCACATGCCGGATTGGGTGACCAGTAATGTACATCCAGTCTCTTGATTTCAGGGAGCCTTTCAGAAAGCTGCTGGTCCAGGGTCTGATTAAGGGACAGACGTTCAGGGTAGCAGAGACCGGCCGGTACCTCAAGAAAGAGGACACTGACTTCACATGTATGTGTGTGTATGTGTGTGTGTGTAAGAAAACATGAAGTACAAAAAAGTGCAGTGTGCTGTACAGGAGTTTTTTTTTTTTTTTTTTAATACCATCCACCATCGGTTTGTAGCTTTTTTTTTTTTTGGAAGTATCGGTTCAGGCACAGTACCATTTTAAAAGTATCGATTTGGCACCATTTTTCGTAAAATAAAACCCAAACAATACCCAAACCCTACAAAAGTGCAGGAGTTTGTGCTGGCTTCATGAAATCTTTCATCTGGCTCAGAATTAGACTTTCAAACTGTTTTGGAGTGAGTATATCAGAAATCGCACATTACGTTGAGATAAAAAGTAGAATATATAGCTTTGAATGTACTAACTATAAAAAAGGAAGCCCTTCCTTTAGTTAAAAGAAAACATCTTATTGGAATCTACCATCTATTTTTACTCTATAATGTGTTCAGGTGCATTACCTGAAAAATGTAGGTAACTTTGTTGTCTAGACCAGTGGCTCCCACCCCTGGTCCTGGAGGCACCCCAACACTGCATGTCTCCTTTCTCTGACAGTTCCAGGTCTTGGAGTCTCTACTAATGAGCTGATGACCTGAATCAGGTGTGTTTGATTAAGGAGATGTGCAGTGTTGGGGTGCCTCCAGGACCAGGGTTGGGAACCACTGATATAGACTGATCGAAAATATGTGCACTCTGACTCCTGTAAATTGCTTTAGGCCAGCCAATGAGACTTGAGTATCAAATTGAGACAGCTTGTGCCATTTTAGTGTGTGAACCGCATCAGTACTGCGAACAGCCCTCCTCACATCTCACTCACCTCCCGTGTGGCTTTCTGTGGATACTGGAGCCAGAATAGTTTTTTTGTTGTTGCCAGGCAACAAGGTAAACAGGCTCACATGAGCATCTGAACTGGCTCCCAAAACGCCTGTAATTTCTGTGCTTTTATCAATGATGGTTTCATAATGCGTCTGTGTGTACACAGTGTAGAGGAGAGATGCTTATTACAGTAAACACAGCTGCGTCTCTTCCTGAGGATTCAAACATACAAGATCATCACACCAAAGACCCTCTTAACATCTTAAGTGATCCAAACACTGGTGGTCAGCACTTAATACCGGTGTAAACGTCATCTTTCAGAGCTGCTCCGTAACATACAACATTCAAAAGTTTGCAGTCAATATTATTTTTTAAGTCTCTTCCAAGGCTGAATTTATTTGATCAAAAATATAGTAAAATGTGAAATATTATTAACATTTAAAACGATGATTTGATTATGTCTGTGATCAAAGCTGAATCATTACTCCAGTCGTCAGTGTCACATGATCCTTCAGAAATCATTCTAATGTGCTGATCTGCAAGAAACATTTCTGATTACTATCAATGTTGAAAACAGTTGTGCTGAATGATATTTTGGTCAAAACCGTGATGCATTTAGTTTTTCAGGATTTTTGATGAACAGAAAGTTCAAAATAACAGCATTTATAATTCTTTACTGTCACTTTCAATCAATTTTATGCATCATTGCTGAATAAAAGTATTAAA